TGCTCGGTCCCTCGCACAGTCACACATTTAGGATACAGAGTGATACGGATGATGGATTAACTGCTTTTTAGAGTCAGAGGACCTCAATAACTATCATGCGTTGTATGTTGTCCGATTGTCTATAATTTCAGAGTTTTTATGTGAGTTATTTATACTAATATAATAAAGCGTAAACCCACATTTCTTTGTTGCCTAAGATGTCAGCAATCACAGCATATTTTCCAATAACACTTAGGTCACGCTTTTCAAGCCGTTAAACTTAGGGGTAAATATTTTGGATAAAAGCCCTAATGTGGGAATGAGACCATAAGTTGTTGCAAACATCAAGGAAACAAGGTTGCCATGGTTAGATATCATGTCATGTCATTTTGACATTTGCAATTGATACTTTGACAAATGTATGTTTCCCACATTAGGGTTTGTATCCAAAATATTTACCCCTTAAGTTTAATGGCGTTAATATATATAGCCTAAAGCGTGACGCAAGTGTAGGGCTTTTTATTAAATAAAGAATTATTGAAAAATATGGTGTAATTTCTGACATTTTAGGCAACAAAGAAGTGTGTGTTTACGCTTTATTATAATAGTATACAAGTATAGAGTAAATAACTTTAAAAACAAGTTTGCCGAATACTGGTCTAGATTATTTTATTTCTTATTTACAAACAGGTGTAGGTGACCGCCATCTCGACAACCTGCTGCTGCGGCGCTGCGGCGCGCTCTTCCACATCGACTTCGGGTACATCTTAGGTCGAGACCCGAAGCCGCTACCACCGCCCATGAAGCTGAGCCGGGAGATGGTGGAAGCCATGGGCGGAGTACACGCTGACCATTACCACGAGTTCAGAAAACTCTGCTACACAGCCTTTTTACATTTGAGACGGTGAGTATCCGGCTCAAAGGACCATAACTCAAAATAAAAGAAATCTGTTATTTTCTTATTCGTTTCTGTTTTAAGGCATGCAAACTTAATGCTGAACCTGTTCTCTCTGATGGTGGACGCGTCAGTGCCGGATATCGCCCTAGAGCCTGACAAGGCCGTCAAAAAAGTACAGGACAAACTCAGGTATGTCTGTCTGTCACATTATACACACATCCTGATACTAAAATAAAACTTTTTAGCGGCAATTTTTTAGTTATAACACCTATAATCAGACTTTCCACATAAGTGTACATAAATTCCCATATAAAATCAAAAAATCTTTTTAAAAACAAAAAAACAATGTTATTTTAATTGTTGTTAATACGTAAAAAGCCAATATTTCGTCTGACAAATTTACTTTCAAATCATAAATAGTACTAACCGCTGCCCATAGACATCCGCAATTGCAGATGCGTTTCCGACCCTTAATCAACACAGGAGGAGCCGCTAAAGAGGATATTTCCCCTTCTTGTGTCTCCTCCACCGTCAAATCCACTTACAAGTTAAGAATGGGAAGGGAAAAAAAACCACAGCAGATCTCCGGCACAATCAGACGAAACATAGAAGTTTCTGCTGAATCTATCTTTTAGCCATTGTATATACATGTTTTATATCCAGACTGGACCTGGGCGATGAGGAGGCGGTCCACTACTTCCAGAACCTTTTGGATATGTCAGTAACAGCTGTCATGGCCGTGCTGGTTGAGCACTTCCACAAGTTCGCGCAGTACTGGCGCAAATGAACTTAGCGCTGGCGGTAGGGCGTCCGCCCAGGGCGGTGGGGGCGTCTGCCCAGGGCGGGTAAGGGCCGCCAGTTACAATCTTATAAAACTTTAACCCCGAGCATAAAGGGCGTGGTAGAACTCGCCCAGGGCGTTTAACTGCTAAGACCAGTACTCTTTGTACTATAAGCTTTATCTGATGACTTTCTATTCTTATAAATATGAAAATTGCAATTCTAATAATTATGTAAACTTGTATATACGTTAATTTTGCAATATAGTGTTTGTGTGTAGTAAAATTTTGTAAATCTTTGTACTGTGATATTTTATGATAACAGAAATATTATATTTTAGTAATTCAATTGTTTTATTTAAAAACACTTTAAAACCCACATCAACTATACCTATGTTATAAATGCGGAAGTTTAGATGGATGGATGTTTGTAAGAGTTTGCAGCCTAAATAGCTAAATGGATAACAATGAAATTTGTCATAGATATGAGGATAGTCTGGAAGAACACATTAGCTACGGAGCGACGGAGTCGCGGGCGTAAGCTAGTGTTTTATAATATAATTGTTAAAACAGTAAAAGTCATTACTAGTTTATTGCGACTAAAGGTAATTAAAAAATGAATTAGTTTTCAAATAGATGCAAAATATTTAATATTAAAAATCAGTTGAAATTATTTAAAATATGTTTATAATATTATAATGAGAAATCTTTACAAGATCTTAATTTTCTTACTTTTTAATTAATCTTTACAAGATAATAATTTTAACATATTCCATTACATAAAAAGGAAATAATCACTAATATTGCTATGAAAATAAAAAAGCAAGCTTAGCTATAGAAAACATCTTTCAAACTCACAAATTAAATAATCTCTGAACTGGATTGGATCAGCACACTTAGCCTTAAACTATTGAGCTGCAGCCCAATAACTAAATTAACAGCTTAAGAAAATGCGCACGCTTGAAACTAAACTATCGCACAACTGTTCAGTCTTACTTTGATTCCTATGAGCTTACATTGAGGTGGGCACATTCCTCGTTTTTCAGTTGTGCAACTAAATAGTTGAATTGGCTGCGAAACCGACAATCAACAATCGCATAACAAATGTGCGATAGTTTAGTCAAAGGTGTGGGGACGCTCTAAGCCTCAACACTCAACATGAACCTGGTGTCTCGCAACTCACAAAAATCATATCTCTGTAGGTAAATTAACCAAATCTGTGAGCCGATTCACAGATCAGTTTCAAGTGAACAGAGAGCTGATCTGTAGATCATCAAAATTAGTTGAGTTAGCCTACTGTATGATGGTTTATGAGCAAGCGGACATATAATCACTACCGCTAGCAACGCAATCACTTGCCACATATATCTTGCTACCCGTAGCTGATTGTATCACATCACAAGCTGCTATCTCTGCGTAAGTAACACCCCCTATAACAAACACTAGCACTGTCTTTGCTTTGAAAGCGAACGCACTAGATAACTTTGTATCAGTTTTTAATTTTTTTAATAATGTCTTTGCATCTGTACAACCATATTCTAATTCACTATTCAGTTTCAAATTCGATAATTTCTCATTCAACGTTTCTATACCATCTTTCTTCTCTAATATTGTGCCAGATAATTTTAAATCCAATGTATAAGATAGTTTTGTTAACGCCTCAGTTAAAGATTCAGATGTTAAAAGTATATTACAAATACTGGCAATTAGAGGTACATAACTGCCATTAAATACATAACTGGGTGAAGTCTTGGAATTATCAGCTTGTGTAGATAATTGTTTTAATTTTGTAGCTTGATTTTGGAATCCATTCTGCCATCTCGGCAACCTATCACTCAAACCACTTAAATTAATATTCAAAGATAGTTTCAAACTTACAGGTTGTATTAATAAGCCTGTGTTAATTAAATTTTGAAATACATACAAGAATTTGTAGCCAAATGCTAATAAATATTTATTGACTAGGTTATTATATTCGTCATATGAAAGCCCTTGCGTTAAACTGAGCAAACACATCAATCTCAGACTATTGTATATATGTATATCTGTGCCAAAGTTTTCATCAACGAAATTAAAATTAGATTTCTTATTTCTGTTATTCAACATTTCGCCTTCAGTATATGTGACGTTTTCGAATTTATTATTCATTTCCGATATGATAGTTTCACTCGCTAGAACATGGTTGACTAGATTCTGTTTAAATAATGCTACTTGTTGTAATTTCGTTGATACGTAATGTTTAATTTCTTGAATACCTAACGCTTTAATATCTTCATTCTTTAATAGCTTTGCTTTCGAACTTAACACACTTAGAACTTCAGAGAAATGTCTATGTTTTATTTCTCCGTATAAACTGTCTATCGAACTATCTAATGTCATGGTTACTTTTTTAGGGTTTTCTTCGGAAACTGTTGTAAAATTCAACATACCCTTTTTATATTTAGTATCTTTGACATTTAAATCTAAATGTCCGCATGTTATATTGAAAATTTCATTCAATAGACCGGAGTATGTAGCAGGTGTGAGTAAACTTGACGCATAGTCTTGATTTCTATCTATTAATAAAAATGTATCAATTTCTGTATCTTTGTTTATGAAATCTCTGGAATATGTCTCATTATAAATCTCCAATATATCTAAAACACTAGACGATAATTTACCTAATGATAAAACACATTTAGGCCGTCCAGTAACATGGAATAAACTCCACAACGACATTGAAATGCTTGACAATAGAGAATGGTTTTGCTCGACATATAATTGCTTGTATAAAAATGGTAGTTCCATACTAAGAAGTCTGTCATCCAATGACATTAATTCCCAGGAAAATGAATGGAGTTTAACAACATCATATAACCCTCGACTCTCTAATATTGAATCATATGTGTGTAAAACTTTTGGCACAATAATAATGTTGAAACATTTTAAATCAGCAAGTGATGGGTTCTGACTGATTTGTGAAGATATCTGATCTAACACACACTTGTATTTATGTTTACATGCTGATATGAAATATATTTTAGTTGTGTTAGCTGTCCAAGTTGGGGATCCATTTTGTAGATCTTTTCAATTCCATGCTGCCTAAAATAGAACAGGAATATAATTAATTAATTTAAATTGTCATTATTTCGAAAAATCATTGAGTTGAAGAGTTTTGTGCAGCCCACTTCAGTTTAGTTTTAACTGAATAATTGAAATGCCTGAACGGGCTTAGGTAATTGCATCCGCTATAAGTTATTTACAAAAGTTTACCTTAGCCAAGTCACACCACATATCCTTTCCAAAGGTTTTATAAGAGATGAATCTATAATTAAATCTGCTTTATCTCCGCATGATGAAAGAATCTTTTCTAGTTTATGTTGCGATATTAGACACAAAGATGAGAGTTTAGATTGCAACGGTTGATCCATGGCTTAAATTTGTTTTATACAATTAAATAGGTATTTAGTAGTAAACACGATTTATTTTAACATTTTTTTATCAAAATATTGGCAATTTATCTTCAAAACATTACAGCTGTTGACAATGACATTGGAAAAAAAATGTCAAAAGAATTTGACAGATACATCAAAAGGTTAGATTTACGCAACTTTGGCTTCTATTTATAATTCTGCTTTTCAATAATGTTCAAATCAATGAACATATCTTAAAAAAACGCATTTGAATATATGTTAAACAAATTCGACAATACCAAAATAATCAACTGTAAATGTTAATTTCCTAAAAACATAAATTCCAATTGGATTATTTTAAAACTTTAAATGTCAACCGTTCTGTGTTATTTACACCGCAATTATATTATCAATTCGTTGATGTGTGGTTTTAGCTTTTTGCTTTGTAGTTTTTATTAATAACTTCTCCATTTTCATTGTGAATAAAGAATTTTCGCGGGATTTTCTATCCTTGATGACAGCTTCCGGTCATGCGTCGTTGTCTAGATCGCAATATCCTTCCCGCCCCGCTCCGCCTCAACGTCCGCGGAGTGAGTGCGCCGTTCAACATCGTTTAATCAAAAATTTAAAGAAATGGCTGCAAGATTAATCCGGAAAATTGTAAGTCAGTAGTTCAGTGCTAGAAAATTTGTTTTCCATTAAAACTGCATGTAGCCTCTAACTCTTAGTAAGTCCGCTTAATTTCTTTTGCAATCCAAAAATAGACTATTGTACATAGTTATGTCGAAGAATTACATAAATGCGCTTTTGAAGCCTTTTCGTGAGAGTAACGTAGTCGGAGCTTTACTGAAACTGTTCGACACAGGGCCGAATCAAGGACTTAAACGTGTTGGGATCGCGAAAAATGAGGTTTCCATATATTTTTGTTAATTTTCTTTCAGTTATATGGTTTGAGGTTATAAGGTTTTTCTGGTTTTGTCCAGGTTCCGACGGCCAAGTCTGGTGCGGCGCAGTACAGCAGCGGCGTACGGAAGGTGACGTTGATCCCTGGACATGGAATTGGCCCTGAGATTACTGTCGCAGTGCAGAAAATCTTCGAGGCTGCTAAAGTTCCCATCGAATGGGACGAAGTCGATGTGACAGCTGTTAGGGTATGTACCTTATTTTCCTTTTAAAATACATGCCAATAATTTTAATAGTACTGTAATTTTATGGTTTAAAGTATTCTGAGTACTATTTTAAGGAAAACCATTAATAAAAATACTTTTCTTTGTCATGCGACACATTTCAAAACGCGCCTTTATAAAGTGGCATAGTTTTTTGGGATTCTGTAACCTGTTTAAATATTAGGTAAAATAAATCTTAATTTAAGTGAATTAAGTTCTAATACATTGAAATTGTTTTCTATTTAGTTTGATTATTCAATTAGCATATGTTTTGTCTAAAGTTGTTGAAAAACTTATTTGCATACTTAGTGTCAATGTTACACAGTGTTAACATATCACTTACCTTCTGTGAAAAAGAAACATTTTGTTATTTGGCGGTTTAAAAGGATATTTCTTGTCACATTTTGTATTTAATTCAAATTATTGTACACAATGAAATGTAGATATACTGATAATTTATTAATTTATTTAAAGAATTCTGATATAAAAACCTATATAATGTTTAATAACAGAAAAAAATAAAAATAGTTTATTAATTTCCCCTTGGGCAGGGGACTGGTGTCCAAACTAGGGTGGTCCCTGTGTAATGGATCACCAG